AAGTCTCATCTAGGGAGAAAAACTCTCACTGACACAGGAGAGAAGAAGGAAAGGACTACCACCGCAGTCATCTGCGTCACAGTTGGGTGAATATTATTTATTATTATGCTTTTTGCGAGTGCAGTAGTAATGGTGGCATTAGGGTGGCTAGGGATGGGGAAGGGACCTGTCTTGTTGCGGTTGCTACTCTTCGGAGGGTACTGCTAGTCCTTTTCACGTAGAACCATTGGTCGCGTTACGAAGTGTTTAACTAGTCCTCCTATTGGGACTATGATTATTGCTCATCATTTTTCCATGTCCTTTCACTCCCTCCTCTCACATTTTATATTTTGTCTTTCTCTTTCTCAAAAAAATTAATATAAGATGTTGACGTGGCTTAACCGTGACCTTTCAAATAGGAGAGGAGGGAAAGGGAGAGAAAAAAAAGAGGGGAGAAAATCCTACTCCCTCCTATTGAGCTTTCGTATTTTCATTCAGAAAGGGATGCTTTTACAAGTGGTGTTTGTTGTTGAAAAATTTTAGCGACGTTGATGCTACTTCTTCTGCAACAATGCACATAAGATTAATACAAATTAATGATAATTTTCATTGCCACCATTGATTCAATGAAATCAACAATATATTAAATACTTATCTTTTAGGGTGTAGAAATCGCTCTCTCCCGATATTTAATTAGAACAATACTGTAAGTTGAGGCAATTTAAACACTATCTTTAAGAGTAGATTTCGTCTCCCAAAAATAATGTCTCAATGTAGTAGATTATGACGCCCTATTATGTAAAATACTACCTTTGACCCTTGTTTGTACACTTGCAATACTCGAGTTCGACTAAGAGTACTATTCTTTCATTTGGAAAATAGGAATTAGGGCAATTAGCAGAAATAATCACATTTTGATATTTGATTGCAAAATGATCATTTTTTAACAATGGTGACATATAGATTAGATATCGACGACATAATGATAACATAACGATACCTGATCTTTCTGCAACCAAATGTCAAAAATAGATTATTCTTGCTAATTACCCTAAAAATTAAACGATACACTAGCCAATGATGGGTCAAGAAAGGAGAGGACTGATGCGATAATTAATGTTTTGACCCTTCAGTATTAGCTGTCATTTCTATTAAATATCTGTCATTTCCATTTACTGGGCCATGCTGTTGCGCATCACTGAATCATAGTTGCAGTAGTACCCGATTACTAGGGTTTTCCCATATGATCCACTATATAGTGTAATGGTTCTGCCTCTTGAAGGCATATTATATATGAAATCCTCGTCTTTTTAATTTATTTTCTCTCGTATACAAATTAACGCACCAAATTGGCCTCAGAGCCAGGTTGATGGCTAGAAAAATCAAGCTCCGCAAAAGTCAAGTTCTACGTTGGTAGCTGTGGATGTTTAGCAAGAGCAGTTCGCAACTCAACTTCAGGAGATGAACGAGAAGGTGACGGCAATCTCATCGCACCAAGAAGCAGATTAGTCCGGAATGGCGGAGATGTAGCGGGCTATCATGTCGTTGATGGTAATGTAGAACCAGATCCAAGCATCGTGGAGCTCTCAACAAGCTGACCTCCAACTCACTATGCTGGAGGAGATTTGACAACTGAAGACGGCTTCCCGACCTTCACGTTGGAGAGGGTCTTTCAGATTCCGTCATTTGGGTCCATTTCGTTGCCACCTTCTTTGCCAATTACAGGGGTAACATCGACGCAGCCATCAGTTCCGAATTTGTATTCGAGCAATCTGATCTTTGGGTACGCTTCAACCACCAGTTCTCCATCTCTTCCGCCAGTGACACTCCAACGGTTGTACAATGCATACTCCATCAAAATGATAGATTCACTAACACTTAGAGTTTATTTCTACTTTCATTTTTATTAAGTATAACATAAGATTTTGTGGTATCCACTAATGTAAATATTTTAAATTGAAATTGAATTCATTCATTGTATTCATATAGGGTTAAGGAGTGTAGCTGTAAAATTCATCAAAATCGGAGTAAAATAACCATTAAATCGTGATTTTTCGTTTATAACCATTGAAAAGTTTTGTCCCATTACTTGATCTTTGAATGCTTATTTTTTGCGAATTTTGGCGTATGCGATCTCGAAGTATATACAAACAAGTTTAACGGTTGGATCTTTGAAACTAGTTTCGTAGAATGCGTATCCCATCAAGTTGAATGGTATATTTATTTATTAAGTAGCTTTAAATTTATTTATTTTGTACGTATAACACTTAAGAAATTAAATGATATATATTTATTAAGTAGCTTTAAATTTATTATTGTAGTTTGGATCGGGTTTTTGATAGAAAAATATATTATTGTGGGTTTTATGTAAAAAAAATTAAATTTGAAGGGAATAAAGTTAAATTTTCAGTAAACTTTATAATATATTTAAAAAAAATAATAATTACCTTGTGCGACGCATCAGCCAATCCATCGCGCAAACAACCTTTGCGCAGCGCATTAACTGGTGCGTCGCCAAAAACACTTTGCGCGACGCGGTTATTCCGTCGCGCAAACACTTTTTGCATGACGTATTGGTTGGTGCGTCGCACAAAGTGTGTTTTTGCCCAACGAAATAACCGCGTCTCGCAAAATGTTTTTGCGCGACGAATACATGCATCGCCCAAGTTGTTAAAAATTTGGCCATCCAACTGAAAAAAATAGGCAATGTTTTTTAAATTTTCCCAAATTACTCATAATTAGGGGTGGTTACCGAATCGAAACACTTGTCCTTATTCCCAAACTGAAATTTTCGGGAATCCCAATTTCAATACTGATCGCAAACCAATTTTTCGAGAATCCCGAAATAGTTTCGGGATTTCGAGACAAATCGAGAATCCCGAAATGGTTTTGGGCTTTTGGACAAAAATTTGACATATTATGCTTTTGGGCTAAAATTCAACCTTTTATATTGAAAATTTGACATATAGCCAGGCTGCCAATCTGCTAGTCTGTTGGACTAAAATTTGACATACAAGTATACAACCAATCTGCCAATATGTGCACAATAGCATCTGTGATCTGCCTATTCAATTTCTACTAATAGCATCTGTGATCTACCTATTCAATTTCTACTACATATGCCTCAAGGCTTGGCAAACAACATGCAACCTTAACTCAAAAGAAGCATAATTATTTCCTCACAAGAAGTACGTGTAAAATTGCACGGAAAATATTCGCTACCTCAAAGATAAGAGATCTAAAAGTCACACCAGGTCCAACTCTTCAGTCTTCTAGGCACTCTTCTTCACCTCCGCAGACTTGATAATGTCAATAAACTTAGGCTGGAGAGAAACATAAATGTAAGAATGCGGGGATAACCAAACTTTTTTTTTACTAGGGATAAGCAAACTTTTTTTTACTAACGAAACTGGGAGATCGCAATTAGTATGCATAACCTATGATCATTACCTTTAGAGAAGCTCCACCAACAAAAAATTCATCGATATCAGGCTGACCTGCGAATTCTTTGCTGTTTGCACCGTTCACAGACCTAAAAAAATTATTCGATTCAACCAATTGTTGAGAAAGCGAACAGAGAAAGATAAGTTGACCCCTCATCTTTCCCATATGTACACAAGACATGAAAACTGAGTGGACTCCTTAATTCAAACACAAGACATAATGAATTCTTCACAAGAGAACAAATATATTTATGACTCAAAGTGATTTTGGCAGATGATAGCCTCTATCCGTACAACAGATCATTCCTATCCTCTAGTCTTTTTCGAGTTTCGCTTTTTCACCAAAGTCCAGGTAAATTGTGTTTTAGTAAGCATCCAATCTTAGGGTTTAGGGTACAAGAATTAAGACTTGAAAGGCCATACTTAAGGGTACAAGAAACATGTATACAAAATGTCATAATGCTTCATTATTGGGACAGTTATACAACTTTTCAGAAAGTCAGTTGACTCTTATATTATTTCTATAGATATTATTCCTCTTGGCAGGGTGGGGTGGGGGGAATACACATTAGTCAACATAAATATATTTTAGGTGCTTCAAAGTTGTAATTGAGAAAAGGATGGGATGTATAAGCAGATAAACAAAAAAATGATGCGGTAAAGGTGTAAAAAGATACCTCCATAAATAATCTGGGTTAATGCATCAACTTCAGAACTGACGTTTGCTTGAAGCCATTTCCTTAATTCAGAATGCACCTATTGTATGGAGAAACATTTGTGTGAAAAACAAACGGTGAAGTAAGTTTCAACCCCTAAATTTCAACCAGTAAGGTATATTTCAACCTCTACATTTCAAGCCCTAAATTAAATTTCAACCCCCAAACCCTAATCTAGAATTCCAACCCTAAATTAAATTTCACAAACCCTAATCTAGAATTCCAACCCTAAACTAAATTTCAAACCCTAAATTAATTCCAAAATTTACCTGATTTGGGGGAGAAGAGAATCGGTGCACAGTCGATGTCGAGAGACAAATGCTCCTCCTCCACTGTCTGTGATGGATGAGAAGTCAAGAGAGACTGAGAGAGAGATCAGAGAGGTGATAGTCGAGAGAGAGGTGAGTCGTGACTTAGGTGAGACACTTATGTGGCCGGATTCGAAAACATAGAGGGAAATCGGCAAGGAGGGTGGTGATGGTGAGCGAGGTTGAGTCTAAGGTGAGAAAGGGTGAGCATGGCTGCGTGAGTCGTGGTGTGAGTGAGTGAGTTCTGTTGTTGTTCTGAGTATGTTTGATAATATTCAACGGTTGAGATTAAATTTTCAATCGAATCTGACGGCTATTAAAATTCTACATATATATTTTTTATTTTGGTTCGGTTCAGGATTACAGAAATCCTAAAAACTTGAGACCAATTTCGGTACCAAAATTTCGGGATTGGTTCGATATTGGGTACCAAAATTTTTGGGATTTTTGGTTTGAAATTTTTTCGGTTCGGTTCCGGGATTTTTTCAATTTGCTTTGGGATTTTTGGGATTTTTTTCCAGCCCTAAATGGAGGTGCAATTGGAAGAGTCCAGACACTACCCTCTCGCTCACTCGGTCTCTCTCTTCCCTCTCACTCATCTCGCCCTCTCTCTCACTCTATCTCACTCTTCTCTCCCACTCCGTTAGACGAAGACAAAGACGAAGGAAGACGGCAGCCACTACACACTTATCTGCTCCTCCTCCGCTCCAACCTCCCTCAGAATTCTCGCCGTTTCTTTGATTCTGAAGGTCCCTTCACATCTATCTCTCTCAATGTTTTGCTTTTTGCTTTAATCGTTCAACATATGATAATTAGGGTTTTATTTGGTGAGTGTTACAATGACCAATACGTTCTTCCACTATTTTGTGACGAAGAAATTCTGATGGGGTCGATTGCAAAGAAGGGGTTGCAGCAGTACTTGCTTCAGCTTCAGCATCACCCCGAACGAAGGTCAAATTCTATGCCTTTCATCAAATTATCAGTCTCACTTTTATTCTGGGATATCTTGATTTCCTCTGTTTTCTATATTAAAACCCTGTTTGGATCCCGAGAAAGTTGAGGAAACCCCCAAAGATTGAATTTTTTTTTTTTTGTATGTCTAGATTGCTTTCTCATCTAGGTTTTTTCAAAGATGATGTATTTTCAGCTCGTATTCCTTAATTGTGATTAGTAGTTAATTGGTTTTTCGAGCTGAGTAATATGAGTGTAACAAGTTGTTAATTGGGATTTTTTTTGGTGATCTTCATTTCATTTGATATCCGAACAGGCAATTACAGTGGAGGTTTTGTCAATGATCAGTGACATAGTGTTGCAGAAGCTCATCGGTATTCAGAAACTTCAGATAAGACGGCTCCTTCTCAAAGTGGTAAGGTCTATTAGGATTCCATATCGACGATTTTATGAAAGTTTGTATCTGTGATCTGTGTATGTGTGCATACTGTATATGAAAGAAAGAGTGATTTTTGAAAGTAGTAAAGTTGGTTTAAACTCGTTGTTCGATCATTTGAACCTAATTTTATACTTTTGTCGAAAAAATGTCTACTAGCATTTGCTATGAAACTGAAGTGTTTGTAGATTCACTTTCTCACAGATGTTCGATTATGCATTATATTTGAGAAACCTTGTGAAACTAATTTATCTCCCACTCCGTTAGACGAAGACAAAGACGAAGGAAGACAGCAGCCACTACCCACCCATCTGCTTCTCCTCCACTCCACCCTCCGTCGGAATTCCTCTCTGTTTCCTCAATTCTGAAGGTCCCTTCACATCTCTCTCTGAATGTTTTGCTAGGTCCAGATTTCAATTTTAGTTTGTGTAATTAGATTTCAATTTCTGGAAATAGGTTGCTGTAAAATTTATGGGGTAGTAGAATTTGGTATGCTATAAAGTGTTTCTTGATATTATGAATTTCTGGAAATAGGTTGCTGTAAAATTTACAGATGTTCGTTTTGTGAATTGGGTGTATGAATGATTTGTGGGTTTTGGTTTTGCAGGAGGAAGCTTGGGGTGTGGGGAAGTTGCGGCATCGGCGGCTTGCAAATTTGATTGGGTATTGCTGTGATGGGGATGAGAGGCTGCTTGTTGCTGAGTACATGCCTACTGATACTTTGGCAAGCATTTGTTCCACTGTATGTCAAACAAAATCTATCTTTATTTACTATTCGTCTTTCGACTTCACCTAATTTATTAAGAATGCTATTTTTAGCTCAGCTTCTAAGATTTCTCAGTGACCTTTTTGTGAAGTACCTCTAAATATATAGCTTTTTAACAAGCAAATATTGAAATGCAAGATTGTATTGACATTTGTTTTCTACAACATGACACGTTTGATTAACCTATGTTTTTTTTTTTTGTTAATGCTTCAGTCATTGATCTTAGTTGGCCACTAATCTTACCTTGTAGTTTTGTTAATCCCAAATGATATTAAACATTGCCTTTCGTTTGGAAAAGTCGTGGCGAGGTGGTTTTTTACTTTTTAGTATACTCTGGTCTCTAGTGTGCCAATACTGTGCTTGTCTTTGTACTACTAATTTATTAAGTTTTGCATAAGCAATCAATTCAATGTTTTGAGTTTTGTTCCTACAAATTGAGAATTAGTTGTTGTGTTCGTCAAAAATTAATTTTTGGGCTCTGCTTGTTTATACAGGGGAGAATCAAACCATTGAGTGGGCCATGCGTTTAAGAGTGGCTCTTTATATTGCTGAAGCTTTGGATTATTGCAGTACCGAGGGCCGCCTGTTATACCACGATTTAAATGCTTATAGGGTTCTCTTTGACTAGGTATTTGATTCTCAAATTCAATCATCTTAGTTTAAAATGTGTTTTCAGTCACTTCAGTGTTCACCACTTTTTAGGGTGATAATGTAGTATCTGAATGGACTTGTAGGATGGTGATCCTTGTCTTTCATGTTTTGGCTTGATGAAAAATAGTAGGGATGGGAAGAGTTACAACACAAATCTTGCTTACACGCCACCTGAATATTTAAGAAATGGTAATAACTTCTCTAGCCTAGATATCACCTATCCCTTTGATCATTTTTCTTGTCACTATTCTAGTTTTCCTATCTAAACGACTTCTGCTTAAGAATGCTGACTTTACTGGTTGTTTATTTACTTTGTAGGAAGGGTCACTCCAGAAAGTGTTGTTTATAGCTTTGGCACCATCCTTCTAGATCTGCTTAGTGGGAAGCACATCCCTCCAAGTCATGTAAGTGGACTGCTATAAATGTGTGGCATCCACATAAGCTTCGTTGGGCTAATTTTTGTGTGATGAAGGACCAGGTTGCGCAAAATGTTTTTTGTACTAGTGATGAAGCTGATTTTTCTGTAGTTTTTTGCTTGGGGTTTGTAGTCAGCCACATAAGCTTCAAAAACATATAAAATAGGGATGTGATATCCACACACCTTCTTTTACTTCTCTCACACCCTTTTAATTTTTGGCCGTCAGATCGGATGAATTGAAGAAGATCAAAGGACATAAATTGACAAGGGATGTGAGAGAAGTAAAAAGGAGTGTGTGGATAACACACCCCATAAAATACACGTCATTTGGACGAGTACTGAAGAACATATGGCTTCACAAACATGCCTTAGCGAATCTGTGAAATCTGGGGTTTCTGCAGAAAAATTGGAGAAAAAAAAAACGTGATTTTATGTTTAGATTTGAGAGCTCTTTTTCTGTGAAATCTCCTTATTAATTATTTTAAATTGATTATCTTCTGATTAATTTATATATGATTGTCTATTCCTTATTATTTAATTACGGATAATTGCCACTAGTACTACGGTCTAATGGTATTCCTCCTCACTGATTAGTAAGAGGTTTTAGGTTCAACTCTCACCAAAGGCGACACCCCCTCCCCTTAGTGTAGATAATACCGATTTGTTCAAAAAATAAATAAAAAATTACGGATAATTGAATATTGTTGTTGGGCTTATTATGAGCATGTCATTTAGGAAAATGATCCATATTCAAGATGTTCATCAAACATGGACTGGGGTTCATTAATTGTCACTTCTTACTTGATGTGGTGTCTAGGAAAAATCTTTAAGGAGACACTTTGGGTGTCCAAGAGGGTCGGTTTTTAAAAGCTTAGCTATGCCACCCCTCCCAGATTTTACTGGCCACACTTACAAACATGGATTAGGGTTCACTAAAGGCCTATTATATGCATGAGTACTATATGAATGTTTAAGCTTTTGCCCATAATTATTTTTTTTTCTTGCGCACAATTGGATGTAGCATGAAAACGAAATGGAAATGTGTTTGGAAAAATGTTTGGGCAAATTTTTTCAAAACTAAATATTTGTTTCCAAGATAATTAACACTGTGAACTCAACCTATAATATTGAGTGGTAATTATGAGCGACTTAGCGGATTTTTCGATCTTAATTTATAGAATAGATTCATATTTCTTAATTAAGACTTGTGAAATAAATAAGAAAAATGTGTAGTTAATATATATCAATATTTATATATTACTTTTGTGCATAGTGATATGGCTTAAATTATCGAGAGTTGCAAAAGATATTTTTTAATGGTTAAGTAGATAAGTGTTTCTCATGTAATTAGAGCAAAATGCTCCACCACGGGGTGAAATGTTGGCTATAATCGAACGTCTCTAATGCTCCTAGGAATTGGATACACTTTGACCCTTAAAAGAACTGAGATCTTGATGAGAATTCTCATCAAGAATTAGCTCGAAAGTTAAGGAAGTGTCCTTGGTGGCATGCTAAAAGTAGTCCAATTGAAGAAGTCGAGAGAGAAGGGATAAAATTGCTCAAGCATAGTTGGTTCTATTAATGTTGAAGATAAGACATCTCACTCACATTGGTTGAGTGAGTACTATGAAGATAGCAGAATGTATGAAGCTTTTAGAAGAAGAAAAATATATGAAACTATTGAGGAGAAAATGAAAGATGTAAAATGTATTTGATTCTTCGTAATGTGTTGTTTTACAATTCACACTTATATAAGTGTTTCTAAAACTGAATCTTACACAGTAAGTAACCTCTTTTAACTACCTCCTTATATCAACTAACTATCTCCTTATTCCAACTAACTATATTTCTAACCACTAAGATTCTAACTAACATACCAGCCTTTATAGGATCTTGACAAGTGGCATTAGTTACCTACTGCACTTGGACCACTATTTTCCACTTCATTCTGCTTACATCCCCCCTCAATCTGATGCTCGAGGGCACTGAGCATTAGATTGGCATAATGCTGCTGAAACAATGGTGTAGACAGACCCTTTGTAAGTATGTCTGCAGACTGATCAGCAGAGGAAACATGCTGAACCTGAAGATCACCACGAGTGACTCTCTCCCGAACAAAATGATAATCTATTTCGATGTGTTTGGACTTAGCATGGAACACAGGATTTGTAGAGAGGGCAATAGCAGATATATTATCACAATAGATCATGAGAGAAAAAGGTAAAGAGTTATGGAGATCACAAAATATCTGACGAATCCAAGCAAGTTCAGCAGCTGTAATAGCAAGGGCACGGTATTCAGCCTCTGTGGAAGATCGAGACACAATATGTTGTTTCTTCGATGCCCATGAAATAGGATTCGAGCCAAGAAACACAACAAAACCTGAAGTGGATCGCCTATCGTTCGGATCACCGGCCCAATCTGCATCATTATAAGATTGCAGATGCATGGGACCGGGTTTGAAGTGAATACCATAGGTAGATGTGCCTTTGAGATAACGAAGGATGCGCTTGACAGCCAGGACATGAGAAACCATAGGATTATGCATGAATTGACAAGCCTGATTTACTGCAAATGCGATGTCAGGGCGTGTGAACGTGAGATACTGAAGTGCACCAACAACACTTCTATATTGGTCCGGACTGTGATACGGTTGACCATCATCCTTAATCAACCTGTGATAGGGTAGACATGGTGTGCTACATGGTTTAGAATCCTGTAAATCCACTTTATCAACCAACTCAGTGATATATTTGGTCTGTGAGACAAATAAACCTTCGGATGTATAAGTGATTTGCAATCCCAGAAAGTAATGCAACTGTCCCAAGTCCTTCATTTCAAATTCTTGAGTGAGAGCATGGATGACATGATCGATTAATTGTGAACTGCTACCCGTGAGAATAACATCATCAACATATAAGAGTAATAACACTGTCCCATGTGAAGACTTTTGCACAAACAATGAAGGATTTGCAGGAGAGACTTGAAACCCGAGACTTGGTAAAAAACTGGTAAACCTTTCATTCCAGGCTCTGGGAGCCTGTTTTAAACCATACAATGACTTCTGGAGCTTACACACATAATCGGAAGGATGTGAGGCACTTGCAAAGCCTGGAGGTTGGGCCATATAAACCTCCTCCTGAAGTATGCCATGGAGGAAGGCATTTTTGACATCGAGCTGTCTAAGAGACCATTGGAATTGAGCAGCCAAAGCAAAATAAGTCGTATAGTTGTAGGTTTAACAACAGGACTGAATGTCTCAAGATAATCAACACCCTCCTCTTGACTATACCCTTGAGCCACAAGTCGAGCCTTATACCTTGCCACTGACCCATCTGCATGTTTCTTTATTTTGTAAATCCATTTGCAACCAACTAAGTTCTTATCAGGTGGTAATGGAACTAAAGACCAAGTCTTTTGAGAGTGAAGAGCATCTATTTCCTCTTGCATTGCCACCTGCCATTCTGAAACCTGGGAAGCAGATTTGAATGTTTTGGGTTCTGACATAGTAATAGCAGCAAAAGCTTTCTTTTTGAACACCCCATTCTTAGAACGGGTTTGCATAGGATGAATATTCATAGGGATGGGGAGAACAACACTGAGATGCTCCTGCTGAAAATCAGGATCCACAGGGACATGATGTTGTGTTGTGGAGCTGGTTAAGTGGACTGCAGGATCACATGATATATGTGATGAAGGAATATGATTGGCAGGAGAAGAAACACATTCTGGAGCACTAGATGCAACTGTTTCCAAGGAATCTGAGGCTCTAGATGTAGACAAAGAATCTGAGGCACTAGATGAATGCATAGACAAGGAGTGTGTAGGTCTAGATGATAATGAATGAGATGAAGGTGTAGATGCTTGATTGGTTAAGGTAATGATAGGTGTGACAGATGAGGAATGACTATGAGCATGAGATTCATGCAATGGAGATGAGGCAGACACTAATTTGGATGGTGGACACATACTGGAAGTGGAATATGGAAAGCTATTTTCATCAAATAATACATGCCTAGACACAAGAATTTTACCAGTGGCAATGTTAAGACAAAGAAACCCCTTATATTGATCTGCATATCCTAGAAACACACACGTTGCAGTTTTAGGATGAAGTTTATAAGTGTTGTAAGGCTTTAAGAGTGGAAAGCATGCACAGCCAAAAACTCTGAGATGTTTGATATCAGGAACCTTGTTATATAATTTTTGAAATGGTGACTGCATATGTAAAGTAGCACACGGCATCCTATTAATCAAATAAGAAGCAGTACTACATGCATGAAACCAGAATTGGGTTGACACTTTTGCAGTTTGAAGAAGTGTAAGTGCAGTTTCTACAATGTGTCTATGTTTGCGTTCTGCCAATCCATTCTGTTCAGGTGTGTAAGGACAAGATTTGTGATGTAAAATACCATTCTGTGATAGATAATGTTGAAACTTAGTGCTTGTAAATTCACCACCCCCATCAGATTGAAAAACTTTAACTATAGCAGAGAATTGGGTACACAAATAGGCATGAAAATGAACAAAAGTTGCAAACACTTCTGATTTATTTCGTAATGGAAAAATCCATGTGTATCGAGTACAATCATCAATGAAGGTTACATAATATCTAAAACCTTCATAAGAAAGTAAAGGGGCAGGTCCCCATACATCACTATGTATTTTTTCCAATGGGATGACAGATTTGTGTACAGGAAAATCAAATGGTAACTTGGTTAATTTGCCCTCTAAACATGGTGTGCAGATCGATGAACAGGGATCTAATGATGTAGGAACTTGACACTGATGTAGAATTGCAGAAGTGATTGCATTGGATGTGTGTCCTAGTCGTTTGTGCCAAATGCTGGACTGAATAGGTTTTGCAAGAAAGCAGGAATGTAATGCAGGTGTGATAGATGATGTCTTCTGTGAAATGTTGAATGGTATAGGGTAATAACTAGCTCTACATAGCCCCTTGAATAGGATATACCCTGTGGATTTGTCTTGAATCAAAAAAAAAAACATCATCACAAATGAATCTGCATCTGTTATCTTTGCAGAGTTGATATATAGATAACAGATGTTGCGCAAGTTTGGGAACATGTAGAACATTCCGAAGTGTAAGAGAGTGTTGTGGAACCACTAATTTAGAATTACCAATACTGGAAATACTCAAACCTGCACCACTTGCAGTGGTAATAGTGTATGTGCCCTGATATGGTGTAGGCAGCTCCAAGTTTGCCAACTCAGATGTCATGTGTGATGTAGCACCAGTGTCTGCAATCCAAAACTGGTCAGATGGTGCGGAAGGTTGATAGTTGACATGCATCGCAGAGAGAGTAGCAGGTGGAGGCCTGCCTTGATACGCAAAATTGCTTCTATGATAACATTGAACTGCTGTGTGGCCGTATTTCCAGCAAATTTGACATTGAGGAGGAGTAGGAGTACTCGAGGATGGAGTAGTATGCCTTTGAAAACAGTCTGCAGCAATATGGCCCTTTTTATTGCATATTTGACAAATAGGAATGT